TTTGAAAAAGTTCCAATCTATTCTAAAAGCACAATTTTCATTTGTTAACTATATTCAGATATTAACCATACTAGAGCTTTAATAAAGAAACATTTTTAAGAGGGGCAATTTAGTGTAGTGATTAAAGTACCAGGCTGGAAATCAGGAGACTGTGAGTTTAGTCTCATTTTAAGCATGAAGTTGTGAACTTGGGCCAGCACTAGGAAGAAGGCAAGAGAAAATCACTTTTGAAATATTATCAAGGAAACGCAGGGACAATTGCTAGGCGTCAACATTAATTTGAAGGCATCAAATAAAATAAAATTACAGTAAAAATATGTAGTAGCTTAAAATTATGGAACTAGGCAGGAAAGCTCATCCTGTAAAGAGGATTTTAGTTAATGATAACTGTTTTTTTCAAGATTACAATAAGAACAGAAAAAAAATTGGTCTGTCTTGTGTATTAATGTATTCATCATCAAGAAAGGGTAAACATTAAGATCCTAATAACATACAAACTCTCTTGTACTATATAAATAATTAAGATAAAAGGGCAAAAAATAGCAGAGTAATATACCATTCAAAAGAGGTGCTTTTTAATATATGGGAGTGCAAGTGAAATAGCTCTCTCCAAATCATTAAAGTAGACACAGTTTTTACATAATTGCCCTGCTGATTTGCTCTGGACTATTTTTGCATGCATGTACATGTAAGTCACTCTGTAGCTTAATAATACAAAAGAGTTTTATACATTCTCCAATGCTTTTGAAGAATTTATACAATTTGTGAAATCTTTTAACATATTAGTTGAATTAAAATAATCATAACAACAGGAAAGCCAAACAGTTATAAAGTCAATGCTTTTATTTATATACTCCAAACTTAGAATTCTCTGATTAGTACATACTTTACCAAATTCTTACCATGCTTCATTATGCCAGCTTTTTGTGAAGCAAATTATAAGATATCCCTTCCAACTTTCCACAGCATCAGAGTATATACTAAAAAAAAACTCTTAAAAGACAAATAGGCACAGCTGGTTTGTGTAAACAAATCAAGAATTAGATTTTGTCTTTATTTTGGGGTTATTGAATTTTTGCTTTCTTTGGGAGGCAAAAAGTTTACAACACAACATAAATCAATATATTAAATGTATATACAGATACAATAAAAAAGAATGCAAAAGAAAAAACAAGCACTATTCAACCAATATATGCAAAGTGAAGGCTTGAGTACAATTACAGCATGACACTTTGGAATCAAGCTTAATGGTTTAAGAATTGACACATCAAAGAATAGACACATCAAAATTAATTGAACTTGTTTTAGATCAAGTCTGGTTTTTTTTTTTGTGGGTCTATTCAAAGTATAATTAAAATTGGATACAATGATATATCCAGATATTTCAAATAATATGGATATATTCAAGGTCCAACAATCACCGTAAACAAAGAAGTTTATAAGATTGCTAACTACATGGTAGAGCAGCAGCTTCATGTTTAATTTCTTTATTCTGTTAGAAGAGTTAGATTTTGTAAGATGTCTATGCTTAATGAAGTTTGTAATCTAATGGGGCTAATCAGTATTGTGTTGCTTGGATCAGGATGAGCTTTCTCAATTACAAAGATTCCATTTTTATCAAGCAACAAAATAATGTTAGCACTGCTTCATATTCTATATTTGATCAAACTAATACAATCAATACAAACTTACCAATCGTTGCTGCAAGTTCTGGATCAAATGTGTTATCTGTAAACCGTAACAAAAGGCTGAATAAAGGAAAAAAAGAGGAGGAGAAACCAATTAGGTTTTACAAATTCTGCTCGAAATATTCATTACCAATTCAAAACTCTATTAAGCAGTTGTAGTTTTAACGAAAAACACCTTCCCCTTCAATGTAGATATCTTCAAAAACTAGGGTCCAATATCCTTACAAACAGTTTCCCTGTATACTTCTACATCTGGAGCCAGGCCATCCTGATTTGTATTACAGCTTTGAAAAATTAAAAAGAAATAATAAATTAGTACACTGTAAATAATCTTTCCTTTCCATAATGGGTCCCACATTGCCATTATTTGGAAAAAATGTATCAGATGACTATAACCAGTATTCTGTTTGGGAGTACATCCACCAAAAAAAGGGAGCAGAGCAAACATATTAAAAAAATTGAGGCAAACATGTCCTATGACAATCTCATCAGCCTGCCCTATTGTGATCCTTTTATGATTAGCCACAGGTATCAAAACAATCATTTTGTAATTGTACACACAGTACATTCTCAGCATTTAAGATGTGTTTATCAATCTAAACAGGAAGTATGATTTCTAAGACATCAACCTTATATATTATTTAAGTAGAGAAGGAGCTTTTCTTCTTTTCAGTAACTGTACTATTACTATGGTCTGGTTCAGCTTAAAGTTATGTCATCATATCAGATTTTTTTCTTATTAAACTGTAATATTTATGATTTAAAAACCCACTTATATTAAAACAATTTCACTGCCTATTTATCAGACAATAGCTACAGTAGTACTTGAATGTTAAGATTTAAGATGTCAACAGTATGTTTATAGATACCCATGGGAACACAATATCTGCAGATACTCATGGAATAGAAATCATACATTCCCAGTGATCTGGGAAGTTCATCTTGCTGATCCAAGCTGTAAACTCTTTCAACAGCCTTAAAAACCCTACAACCTCACTATACCAAAGGATGTGCAGATTATATGAATCAATCTTGAAGGACAGCTGCACAAAAGTGTTGAATAATAGGCATTTACACATCTGGCCAAAGTTTGTTCCAGGGATAGGCAATTCAGTGCTCACTATATCTTTTAGACTAGAAAATCCCCATAAATCAGCATATCTAACAAGTAAGGATTACATGAGTTGTTGCTTAAGACTTCTTAGAAACACCATGTTGCCTATTCCATCCCACTGGGAATCTGCTGTAGTAAAATATCCAGGTTTCAGCCACAGGAGAACAAAAAAAGAGATCATGTTCTACTTGTTAAATTATATTCAACACACCATCTCATGTTTAAGTAAATATACTCTGCATTAAAAAAAAACCCCACTCCTTCCAGTCGCTTATCCTTCGTGCTAAGGAAATTAAATATTCCACAAACCATCTTAACTTTATCCACGGTACAGTCTCAGTTTACTTTCCTAGAGGCTCTGAAGCTTGCAGTATGCCTTGCATTATTTATTTACAGATAAATAATACCTTGCAAAATGTAAACTTTTAAAGTCATATACTTGGGGATGATCTAATGCAAAAGGTATTTTGAAACTCTGCCTGCTAGCAAAGCACTTGCAACAAATTACAGTATATCAAGGCAATGCAGACGGGAGGCGGTTTGTTTGTGTTTGTGTGTGTAAGGATGCATGTATTCCTCCACTTTCTTTCACCTGTATGATTTCTGAATTGCAGGTTTAGGTATTAGAAACTATTTTATCACATAGCCAACGCTATTCCGAACATATAGTACTTCTACAGGCCTAGCAAATAGTGACAGTCAACTAAACAATTCAACTTAATGCAAACGTTGGATAAATTAGTTATGGAGTTTACCATTGCTTCCAGAACAAGCCTTTCTGAAGAACTTTAAAAAACTGGTTCTGTCACCAAGCCTGGGGGTCAGGAGGTGGGGCTGAGCTAATGCACTGGCTATGTTAATTGTTATGGGTGGATCTGTTTACATTCTAGGTACTTTTTTTTCCTCTCTCTCTCTCTCTCTCTCTCTCTTATATTTTTAACATTGTTAGCAACTACGGTAGGAGTTATTACCCTGCGACAGGTGACCCTATAAAGAAACACAAAATAATCTTTAACCACTGGAATTCATACCCCCTACACACCACCACTGCATTATGACATCTTTGTTTTTCATCCGTAGCCGATATTTTCCTTTTAAAAAAAAATTTGGACCCACACCCTGCTCATAGAACAGTAAAGCTAAGCCGTGTCATACCACTGCCAGATATGACTCCACCACAAGTAATGATACCAAGGGGTGTTGAAAGAAACACATCACAAGCAAGGCAAAGGTTATTGTAAGCAATCCAAGAATCCCCAGTCACGTGCAAGTACTATGGACTGAGCGGGGCAGCCAGGAGCAAACGGCCAACCCTCCCCCTCTTCCCCTCCACCCCCAAAAAAGGCAAGACCACTCCCCTGTGAAGTCAGGCAAGGGCAACCTTACAGGAAACGACACCCCCCCACACAAAAAAAAATCGTGAGCCCCAACTACACGATTTAACTTCAGCCTTTTACCCCAAGGGTCTCCAACCTTGGCAACTTTACGACTTGTGGACTTCAACTCCCAGATTCCTCAGCCAGCGCAAGCTGGCTGAGGAATTCTGGGAGTTGAAGTCCACAAGTCGTAAAGTTGCCAAGGTTGGACACGCCTATAAAATCTAGCCGGCTGTCAAGCCAGAATGAAGGGGCGCCGAAAAGCGCGGAGGCCTCTGAGCATTCGCAGAGTGCGACACACTCCTGTCTGAGCCACAGGTGACAAGGGGAGTCGCAGGGGAGAGAGTCGGGGGTCGCGGCTTTCAGGCAGAGGTTTGCCCAGATGTCCCCTTACCCCCCATTTCCACGCGGAACCCCCCTCCCCCCCTCCCCCCCCGCCGAAGGACCCTTTTAGTGAAGAGCCGAGTCCCACCAAGCTTGGAGGACTTTCTGGCGAATATCAATATAAATGGTCGCCAGGGAAAAAGCCTCCCCACGACCGCCCAGAGAAAACGCCCTTTTGGCTCGAAGGGGGCGCCCGGACTGGGCCCAGGCGGGGTGGGGCAAGGAAAGGCCGAAACTGACCCGAGTGAAGAAGGGAAGGGAAGGGCTCACCTGGACTTGCCCACGCCGCTTTCGCCGATTATGAGGATCTTCAACGTGGTCAAAATATCCTCGTCCATCCTGACCGCCAACGACACCCACCCAGCACAGGCGGCGCCTCAACTTCTACGCCAGCTGCCACGTCTTCTGCGCATGCGCCCCTCGGGATACGCCCCTTCGGCGGCGCCAGTCTTGCGGTGTGCGCACGCGTCAAGGGCGCCTTCCGCGTCTCGGTCATGACCCCGCCCCTTCTCTTGTGTGCTGAGGTTCGCCTGTCAGTCTGGGGCTCCGGTAGCGCAGGCGCACATCGCGTCTGAGTGGAGGGTGGGCAGCCGGGGAGTGGTTACTTTGCTTGTTGAGACAGGCAGCAAGAGGAGGAGGAGGAGGAGGAGGAGGGGTAACCGGGGTGTCACGGGATGGCTGCTCAAAGGAGGCCTTGGCTGCAGTTTAGCATGAGTCATCAGGCTGCTGTAGCAAGACCTGCTGTTACGTACATAAACTGAGTTATCTCCTGACGATTTCGTCACTTATTGGTTAAAGTTGTACATCTATGGAGATTCTCAGTCATGGTTGCTTTGTTTCAAAAGGCAACTGGGTTTGCTTGATTTTTGCTTGAAGATGTTTCCCTGTTCTGATGAAATTTCTTGGATGAGAAGCAAAACGTTTTCAAGCAAAAGCAATGAAAATCCAGCTGCCTTTTGAAACAAAGCACCTTTGGGATTAGCTAGGGTTAATTTGTTGCATTTAATGTGTGTTCTAGGCAGTGGTGAAATTAAAAAGTGTTGCTACCAGTTCTGTGGGCGTGGCTTGGTGGTCATGTGACTGGGTGGGCCTGGCCAACTTGACATATGTCACTCACTGTTAGAGCCAGGAGCTGTACATTCTGCAGCACATTCTGCCCTGAAGCCCCCAACACTTTGAGGTTCCCTCCGCCATCTGGCTTGACTGCCCAAGCGAAACTTGGAGCCTTCTCTTGCCCCACTCTCCATCCCGTTGGGCTGCGCATCCCCCCCACCAATCCTCTTTACAAACCATCTGCCCCATTTCTGCAAAGGCAGAAACCCCCCCCCACACACTGCAGGGCAATCCAAAGAGGGGAGGGGGTGCCAGTGCAGGCAGCCCTTCATTTGGTGCTCCCTTGACCGCCACCACCGTTCTTGCTGCCTTCCCTCCCGATATGGCTGCAGACATCCGCCTGCCCAAAGCAACCTCCTGAAGCAACGCTGCCACGGTTCACTTTTGTTTCACGCCAGGAGAAGAAAGCAAATGGCAGCAGCGCAGCGCAGCGGTGCTCCGGGAGAGCAGGCGGGACTCGAGGTAGAGGGGAAGGCAAGCGGGTGGCAGTCAGCCAAAGGCCCCGCGGAAGCCGAGTGCACCAGGCCCAAAAGGCGAGCCAGCTTCGCCATGTTCCTCCCGAGGAGCTGAGCACAGCAGGTCTCCCTCCTCCCCACCACCGCCAGCATCGGCCTTATCTTCTAGAGATCCTCCGCCTGCATATTCAGCATGCCCAACAGAGCCAGCACATTGGTAAGGCTGACGGGCAGCCCTCGGTGGAGAAGCAACCGCTGTCCGGGACTGAGAGGGGCAGTGGTGGCACAGTGGAGGGCTGCTGCACATGTCCCAGGGCAGCGCAGTGGCATCTCCAGCAAGGGCCGCACGCCCACCCACTGGCCGGGCCAGGCTGGACACCAGCCTCGGAAGGCAAGTGGCCGTGGGACCGCTGGGAGGGCAGCGTGGAAGGCAGGCAAGCGTGGCAGGGCTGCGGGGAAGGGAGTAGGCTGCTAGCTCCCTTCCCTGTGACCCTGCCATGCTTGCCTGCCTTCCACATGGCCTTCTGCTTACCTGCCTTTGCAAGCTGGCCACAGGGATGCCAGGAAGGCCACAGGGAAGGCAGGGAAGGATGGCAGGACTGCAGGCCACAGACCAATTCAGGGGGGTATTGCTACTGGTTTGGCGAACCAGCCCCAATATCCGCTACCAATTCGCCTGAATCGGTCTGAACCAGTAGCATTTCATCCCTCGTTCTAGGGAAGTTTCCCCCTTTGTGGAACCCCACTTGCATTGGACTTTTTAATTTCCAGATTTGTCTGTCATCATGGAATGTATTACTAACATATTTGAAGGATACAGATGATTTGAATAGCCATGTTTTAAGAAATTGTCTTGTGTCATACTAATGTTGCACTTTTTCTGTAGGAGCGCAAAGCTGTTTTTTCATCTTTGGGGGAAAGTCATTTGAAGGTATAGTATTAGGCAGGAGAAAATACAACATACTTTTTTATTGGCTTTCCTTTACATTACAGCATTCTGAAGTGTCTTCTAGATGTGTTGGGTGTTTAGTTCCTAACCAGCTTCACCAAAATGCTGGCTGGACATCCCAAGAGTTCCAATTTGTAACTAATTGTGTTTGGAAAAGGTGTTAGATGTCATGATGTGTCTACACATAAAAAAAAAAAGAGAATCATACAGGCATTGATTTTCCTTTGATATTCAATGGAAGCAAAAGACAGACTTTGAAAAATAAGATAGATAGGATATTGACACTTTTGAACTTGGTATTAGAAAACAAAAGGATCATAGAACGTGTCATTCTAAAGTTCTCACTTGAGTCATGTGGCCAGATTCAGATTATCTTATTTTGAATACATTATGTGAAGACCAAGCTCTCTTTAGAAATCTATAATGCTTTGAAGGAAAAAGGACAACCAGCAGCAAAATAAATAGACAGTTATAACATTAGGTGTCCAAAGGAAAACTGTTAGGGACAGATAATCCTGGAGCTGGTATATTTATGTGATTGCTAAGAAACCACCTGACCACAATGTTCAGCTAACTATGGAAGATAAAAGTACTTCTGAGTTGAAGTAGACTCACGGTGCTTATATCTATGCCATTTTCTTGGCAATATTGTCAATGTGGTTTGCACTGGCCTCATTAAAAATGTATTTCTGACTTTCTAGTCTATCCAGTAAACTTAAATTTGCAGGTAATTCCTCATCCAAGTGCTAACCACAGCTGACACTGGTTAGCTTCTATATCAGCCAAGATCATTTAAATGATATCACCCCAAAGGCAGCGTAGCAGTTATTCCAAATTCTACAATGGAAGACAGATGTCTCTGGTACTTTCATGATACTTTTTGCACATAACAGGCCTGTATCAAGCATCAAAACAAAAGATAAAACAAATAAACAAAACTATGTGGAACTGTCCCTCACTTGGAGAACCCATATTTTTGCTTTGGAAATGAATAAAAACCATATTTTGTTTTGGAAATGAATATAAAAAACCATACTGCCCTCTTTTAAGATTTTCTTAATTATACTGGGGACAAAGTATAACAAAAACTAGACATCCAGTTGTCAAACATGGCTTACTTCTCCATTGCAGAGTTCAGGTAGCCAGATAACCACAACTAGAAGATGTTCCAGAAGAGGATAACGTGGGTAAAAATCTTCCTAATTTTATACAGGTAATCTTCGATTTACAACCATAATTGAACCCAGAATTATGGTCATAAATCATTCCAGTCATTAAAAGAGTCACCCCATGACTATATCCAGTTTTACAACTTTTTTTTGCGGCAGTGATTAAATGAATCACGGTCATTAAACGAATGTTGTGGTCATTAACTGAATCCATTGTCCTCTTTAGCCATTTGTTGCTGGAAACCAGAAGTAAACATTGGTTCTGGCAAAAAATATAATAAATCAGAATTATGTGACTATGAGGTACTGCAAACAAATGTAAGTGCGAGCCAATTGCTAAGTGCCCCAAATGCAATCACATCACTTCAGGGGGTCAGCCATCTTAACTTTGAATCGTGTCGTAAGTAGTTCAAAGGAGATCCATTGTAAATTCGAATAGTTGCTATGTTCCCTGTTATAAGATGAAGACCAGTTGGAGAGAGTTGGGTTTGATTTGCAATTACACTGGTTGTTCTATGAGGGAATTTATTTATTTATTTTGTCAAGCATGTATAAGATAACATATATAAGTATAAACATGATTATGAATACATGAAATGGATACAAATAAAAGGGGACATTAGGACAGGGATGGTAAGCACGTTGGTGCACTTATGCAACTCCCTTACAGACCTCTTAGGAAAGGGGTGTGGTCAACAGTAGACAGTCTAAGGTTAAAGTTTTGGGGGTTTGGGGAAGAATCCACAGAGTCAGGTAGTGTATTCCAGGCATTGACCACTCTCTTGCTGAAGGCGTATTTTCTGCAATCGAGTTTGGAGCGGTTTACCTTAAGTTCGTATCTATTGTGTGCTCGTGTATTGTTGTGGTTGAAGCTAAAGTAGTCATTGACAGGATGTTGTAACAGATAATTTTATGTACTACGCTTAGTACATAAACTTTTCAGTTTAGGTAATGGAGAAGCTGTGTGTGTGTGTGTGTGTATGTATTTCCTCTAACCATTGTGAAATAAGTGAAAATTACCAAAGCACAATAACAGATTAATTTCAGTTATTTGAGGTGTTACTTTACATAAGTTTTTTTTTTTGAAGAAAAAAGAATTGAAAAGTGAAGGGAAAAATATTTGTTTGCTAAAATGGTTACTTTATTCTTCTAGATAGAATATTGATTCGAGTTTTAAAAAAATATTTTATGTAATGGAACAAATGGGTAAGTATAGGGGGAAAAGTCTAATGTACACATTGAGTTGAAGTATGGATAGCTAAATGTAGTGCTTCCAATGTTAACCTTAGCCTTGTTTTCTTCAAGGAGTATAATTACCAATTAATTGCTCTACATAAGCACAATAACAATAATTATGTTGTCTGAAATAATGGACACATATACATTGCTGAAACATTTAGCAATACCAAATTGTGAAAGAGACAATAAGACAATGATAATGTTGTCTCTCATGCCCCCGTCGGAGCCTGAATCTGCGGAGGAAGATGAGCCGGAACTGGAGCCTATGGAGATCAAGGAGGTGGCTTCGTTGGCTTTGGAGGAATATGGGGAGGAGCAGGCCAACTCAGGCTAGGGCCTTTCAGGATTAGGACGGCTTGTAGGCAGGGAGGAATGGGGGTAGGATGATCAAGAGAGGCTAAGCAGTGACTATGAGAGACAGAGCTTAGGCAATCAGAAAGGACCACTCCCTCTTGATCCTCAAGCAAGGAGAGTGGAGAGAAGGTGGGAAAATGCAGGCTGACCCGATTACTCGGGAGAAGAGCGACCCGCCCAGAGGTAGGCTGCTGCTGGTTCACTGGAATCAGTTGTTCCGATTCTGCCGGAGAACTGGCAAATTGGAACATCGGCTGGCCCCACCTCTGCCCGTTTTTTGGGCCATTTTCAGGCCATTTTTTGGGCTGTTTTTAGGCCATTTTCTGGCCAAAATCAGTCCTAAAAATGGCCTGAAAAATGCCCCAAAAGCAGTCCGTTTTTCATGCCATTTTCAGGCCATTTTTAGGGCAAAAAATGGATCAGAAAATGCCCCCCAAAATGGCCCCAAAACAGGGCATTTTTCCAACTAATTTTCCAGCAAAAATCGGCCCGAAAAATGGCTTGAAAACAGCCCAAAAAGCCTGAAATCAGCCTGAAAAATGGCATGAAAATGGCATGAAAAATGCCCCCAAATAGGCCATTTTCAAGCTGTTTTTCAGACCGTTTTACAACTTTGGCCAAGAAAACAGCCTGAAAATGGTCTGTTTGTGGGCCATTTTCAGGCCATTTTTCCCTGCCAAAATTGGCCCGAAAAATGGCCTGAAAAACAGCCTGAAAACAGCCAAAAAAATGGCCAAAAACAGCCCATTTTGTGGACTGTTTTCAGCCATTTTCTGGGTGAAAAATGGCCTGGAAAATGGCCCCAAAAAACAGGCCATTTTTCAGGCCGTTTTCAGGCCATTTTTCCGGCCGTTTTCAGCCATTTTTCAGGTGAAAAACAGCCTGGAAAACGGCCTGAAAATGGCCCAAAAAAGCTTCTGAGATGAAGAGAAGCCAGGTGAGCTGGACCCAGATGTGTCCAGGGTCCCCTCATCACAGAAGCAGCAACCTTGCACTCTTCCACTCTCTGCTAGCCCCCTTCTTCTCATGGGATCGCCCAGCAATGGAGAGGTAGAAGGGGGCAGCATTTCTGTGTGTTCCCGTTTCTGTGTGGCACTCTCCCCTTAGTGCTAGCAGCTGCCACTGCCTCCTTCTCCCTCTCCATTTCTGATGCTGGGCAATCCCGTGCAAAGAAGGGGGCTACCAGAGAGGGGAGAGTGCAAGGTTGCTGCTTTTGGGATGAGGGGACCTGGGACACATCTGGGTCCAGCTTACCCAGCTTCTCTTCCTCTCGCAGCCAGCTTTCTCAGTCTAGCTTGACACAGTCTCTCTCTCACACACAAACACACACATACACACATACACAAACAGGTTGGATATTTCTTTCCTCCCGCCCCCACTCTCCCACCTGAGATCCCTGGATTCCCTCCCCAACACAATTTTTCTATGTAAATTTTTGGATAAATTTTTAAGGGGTCCCGGGGGGGGAGGGTAGAATTCGAACTAGAGTAGTGGGTTTGGGGGATAACCCACTAAGGGGATGGTCGGGCCTGGCCATGACGCGGGGTAGGGGATCCAGGGGTGATGGAGGGGTCAAGCTTGTCCAGATTGTGTTTTTACCATCAGTACTGTGAGTGGGAGGGGTAGATATGGCGGGAGTAAGGGGCCATATCATGTGGAGGGAGCGCGCGCCCGCTGTCTTTGAGCGGTGGCGCGCTCCAGCCCCCAAGGCTCCACTTGTTCTCCAGGTTGCACAGACCCTCAGGGCCTGGGCCTGCGACTGATGTTGTGCAACGCCAGGTCTGTAGTAAATAAAGCCCCCCTCATTTGTGATTTTATTCAGGAGGGGGGAGCGGATCTGGCGGGTATTATGGAAACCTGGTTGGGCCCGGAGGGAGGGGTCCCTCTGGTAGAAATGTGCCCACCAGGCTCCCACACATTCCATCAGCCGAGGTCACAGGGGAGGGGTGGGAGAGTAGCGGTTGTTATTAGAGAAGGCCTTAGGCCGAGGGAGGCCACTGTCCCTCAGACGGCCGGCTGTGAGTCTCTCCTCGTGAAGTGGGGTCATGGGGTTCAGATGGGTTTGCTGATCACATACCTGGCTCCCTGCCACGTGGCAGCAGCCCTGCCTGAGCTTCTCAATGTTATCGCCGCGGTGACGGTTGATACCCCCAGACTTATGGTCATGGGGGATTTCAACCTGCCATCCGTGGGTGAGGCATCTGAGGCGGCTCGGGAGTTCATGGCTTCCATGACGGCTATGGACCTAACACAGTTAATTCATGGCCCTACACACGCGGGGGGAAACACGCTGGACTTGGTTTTTGTCTCTGGACAGTGGCTGAGTGATCTCGAGATAGGGGATATAGTCATCGAGCCCTTGTCATGGTCGGATCACTCTCTCCTTCGCCTTGACCTTCGAACCGCTGCACCCTGCCACAGGGAGGTGGAACCGACAAGATGGTACCGCCCCAGGCGCCTGATGGAACCTGACAGGTTCCAGATGGAGCTTGGGCCAATCCCTGAGGTTCTGGCTCACGCCTCGATGGGAGACCTAGTGGCCGCCTGGGATAGGGCGGCTGCTGGAGCTCTGGATCGAGTTGTGCCTTTGCGGCCTCTGACCCAGTGCCGATCTCACCTGGCTCCTTGGTTCACCGAGGAGCTAAGGGAGATGAAGCGCCGGAAAAGACGCCTAGAGAGTAGTTGGAGGGCCAGTCGTGCTGAATCTGACCGGACACTGGTAAGATCTCATATTAAGAATTACCTAGTGGCGATAAAAGCAGCAAAATGTACTCATTTTGCTGCTCTTATTGCGTAATCGCCCGGCTGCCCTGTTTAGGGTGAGTCTCTCCCTGCTCCACCAGGAAGCACGGGAGGACCCCTTGGAGGGAAGAGCCGAGGATTTTGTTCAGTATCTGCATGACAAAATCACTCAGGTTCGGGAAGATCTGGACTCCGACTGGGTAGATCCAGCGGGGATGACGGAGGCAGGTCCTGAGAATGTTATCTGGGATGAGTTTGATCCTGTGACCCCTGAGGACGTGGACAGGATTCTGGGTAGACTGAATGTGACCACATGTTTGTTGGACCCGTGCCCCTCCTGGTTGGTGCTGGCTTCCCGGGAGGTGACACGAGGCTGGCTCCAGGGGATTATAAATGCTTCATTGGGTGAGGGTGTCTTTCCCGCCGCCTTGAAAGAGGCGGTGGTGAGACCTCTCCTCAAGAAGCCTTCCCTGGACCCGGCAGTATTGGCTAACTATCGTCCAGTCTCCAACCTTCACTTTGTGGCGAAGGTTGTTGAGAGTGTGGTGGCACGACAGCTCTCCCAGTACCTGGATGAAACGACGTATCTAGATCCGTTCCAGTCGGGCTTCAGGCCTGGGTACAGCACAGAAACGGCATTGGTCGCGTTGGTGGATGATCTCTGGAGGGCTCGGGACAGGGGGTGCTTCTCTGTCCTGGTCCTATTAGATCTCTCAGCGGCTTTTGATACCATCGACCATGGTATCATGCTGCACCGGTTGGAAGAGTTGGGGGTGGGAGGCACCATACTACGGTGGTTCTCCTCCTTTCTCTCCGACCGGTCGCAGTCTGTGTTGACGGGGGGGGCAGAGGTCGACCCCGAGGCCCCTTATATGTGGGGTGCCACAAGGATCGGTCCTCTCGCCCCTTTTGTTCAACATTTATGTAAAGCCGCTGGGCGAGATCATCCGTGGTTTCGGGATGGAGTACCATCAGTACGCTGATGACACCCAGCTGTACATCTCCACCCCAGACCACCCCAACGATGCCCTTGAAGTGATGTCCCGGTGCCTGGAGGCCGTACGGATCTGGATGGGGAGGAATAGGCTCAGGCTCAACCCATCCAAGACCGAGTGGCTGTAGTTTCCGATGTCCCGATATAGTCAGCTGGTGCCATCGCTGACTATTGGGGGCAAATCATTGGCCCCCACAGAAAGGGCTCGCAACTTGGGTGTCCTCCTGGACTCACGGCTGTCTTTAGAAGAGCATTTGACGGCCGTGACCGGGAGGATTTTTCATCAAGTTCGCCTGATTCGCCAGTTGCGTCCCTTTCTAGATCGGGACTCCTTATGCACAGTCACTCAGGCCCTCGTCACCTCCCGTCTGGACTATTGTAACGCTCTCTACATGGGGCTCCCCTTGAGGAGCACTCGGAGGCTCCAACTGGCGCAGAGTGCGGCCGCGCGGGTGGTGACGGGAGCGACGTGGCACTCCCATATAACACCTCTCCTGCACGAACTGCACTGGCTCCCGGTGGTCTTCCGAGTGCGCTTCAAGGTTTTGGTTATCACTTTAGAGCGCTCCATGGCTTAGGACCTGGTTATTTACGGGACCGCCTGCTACCACCAATAGCCTCCCACCGACCAGTACGCTCCCATAGAGAGGGGCTCCTCCGGGTGCCGTCAGCCAAACAATGTCGACTGGCGGTCCCCAGGGGCAGAGCCTTCTCTGTGGGGGCACCTACTATCTGGAACAAGCTCCCCCCGGAGATACGGAGGATCCCGGATCTGCGTACCTTCCGTCGCGCGCTTAAGACCTTCCTATTTCATCAAGCCGGCCTGACCTAAGTCTTTCCCCTTTTTAAATGGAAATTTTAAATCTGGTTTTAAATTATTGGGGTTTTAAATTTGTTCAGCCAAATTATTTAATTTGTTTTAATCTATTTTAAATTTTGTATTTATATGTTTTATTCCTATGGCTGTTCACCGCCCTGAGTCCTTCGGGAATAGGGCGGTATACAAATTCAATAAAAAAAAAATATAAAAAAAATAAGTAAACCATGCTTGTCCCATACAGGTACCACCTACATAGTGACATAGAGTTGGCCATGCTCACTCAGTCACATGACCAACCCAGCCATGCCCACCCAGACAATCATTAGGACAGAGAACCGGTTGTTAAAAAATTTGGAGCTGACCACTGGACCCACTCCTCTCTACAAGGCACACCTAGGGACTAAGACTTAAAGAGACACTGTGGGGAGGAGCATTTCTTGGGAACAAATACTGATTTCATGGACGGTTGTGTGCCGTTGCCGACATTGGATGCTTCCTGGACGTCTTGCTTTATTTCTTGTTTCCTGGATTAATTGCCTTGTTTCTTTACTTCCTGGATTAATTGACTAATTCCCTCGCCCTGCTGGATTTCTTGTTTTGTAGCCGTTGTGCTCACAGCGTTGTGCTGGACTACTTGCAGCCAGAGGCTGCTGGAGGTGTACATGTGTCATCACTTTGCTCTGAGACTTGCCAGAAACCTGGGAGTGTTTGAAGAACATTTGGAGCAATAAAGGGACGGTTTGAATTGTCCGCTGACTGTGTTGCCTCTATGTCATGCCCCAGGTCATCCCAGTTGTCCATCCAGGACGCAAAATCCATAATAATAGTAAGAAACTGATGGATTGAAGTAAAAATGAAAATGCTTTCATTAATGACTGTAACAAATTATCTGTGTGCTTACATATGTACATATAATTTGTCTCCTCCATTTTTTTCTCAGGAATGGAGTACATGTTAAAAAATGGTGTTGGATTCCATCCTTATTTATGGAAGTTAATTGAATTACTTTGGATCCATCTTCTCTCAAGTCCATCGGCCTGATATGTTGATACGGGGACAACTGATGTGTATATTGTGAGAGCCTCTTCTGTTACACACACACATACACACACATTGAAATAATTTAAAAGAGAAGACAAAAAAAGTATACAGTGCCTGCTTCAAGTATTAGGTGTAAAATATAGCAGAGTATGACTGTTATGTTTTGAAATATTGGTTCAAGCTACAAACAGTAGATAGATTCTGGTGGATGGAAATTAAGACAAAGTTCGTGACAATACCAGAAATTTGGTAGTAAAACTAAATACTAAAATGGTGAATTGGATCTGCTCAGATAAAGTTTAGACAATCATGTTTTGAATTCTTTCATTTGTATGGTTGCATGGAATAGAGTTGGATTAAATTGTTTCTTTTCATTTTAGATCCATCTAAAGAACACACACATCCAACACACTGATATTGGGGAAACTTGGGATGAGCTAATTGGGATAATATTTATCCTCTTGTTTTGGATTCTTTTCAACTGGTTTTGAAAAGCTAAGCAGGGTTTGATCTAGTTGGTACTTGGAGGGGAAATCAGCAGAAAATTGATAAAATCTCCTGAAGTAAGACAATAGCAGAATTCTGCTATATTACTACCATGAAGAAGAACATCATGGCTTCAAAATCTAAGGAACTCAGCTGCACTTTTTCATGCGGCTGTTGATAAAAATAGGATCGCCAACATGATCGCCAACGTCCGATGACAGATGTAGTACAAGAAGAAGATTACTGCCAAGAGGACTGCATTAAAATGCCAAACAAAGTCACTAAGAATCAAGTTTGATTCAAGTGAGACTGTCAACTCTTGAAACAACTCTAGCTGAAGCCATACTTTAGAGCATTACTTGGAACCATGACAGAGGCATTGCCACTTTGGTCCACTTTTGCAAAATGTAAACAACTCTTAGGAAATTTTCACAGGTGATATATTAAAAATATTTGAATTGAAGGGTCCTTAGTGCTCTCTGAGCTTGGTTTTTTATTTTCTTGCAGACATTTCATTATCCAAATTAGGTAACATCATCCATTCTAGTATTTCATCCATTCAGTATTTGAATTAAATATGTTCTTAACATAGAAATGTCATTGAAAATTCATGCAGTGTGGAATGCAGGCTTCACCACCATGATAAAGACTGATACATTCTGTCTTTAAAACATCAAGATTGAATCCTTTAGTACCAAATGGTGACAAGCATGCAAGAGTTCTCCCTTCTATCCAACAAACAGTCTATTTATTTGGACCCATCAAAGGACCAACATTTATAAAAGCTTTGGCATTCTCCATTGTAAAAAGAAAAGACTCCATGCTGGAATTATACTTCTTGTGATAATCTTGAGATATCTTCTCTCAAGCTCTTCAGAAGCTGGATGGCTACTTCAAAAAATAGCGCTTCTAACTAAGCATAACCAAAACAGAAATAATCACATTCCACCTAAGCAATAGATACACAAATTACCAGCTTTCCGTGAAGTTCTGAATTTTACAATGTAATAAGTTGCTGAAGTACCTGAGGTTAATCACTAACCTTCCGGCAATAACTGGAAAAAAACAGCTGAAAAATTGAAAAACTGCAACAGTTTTCTGAACAGACTGGAATATCCTCAGGCGCTGATGCTAACACCCTACAAAAACAGCCTTGGCTTCAGTTTATTCCACAGCTGAATATTATGCCAGCATATGGCTTAACACGGCTCACATCCAAATGGCCGATTTGGTGGTGGTCCAACTCCACCAGACAATGTGTATCATCTCTGGCACATTGCATACCACTCTTGTTCACTGGTTACCAGAATTTAGCAATATCGTATCAACTCATATTAGAAGATAACTAGTTCTCATTCGGCTATAGTCAAGTATGTTGAACAACAAGGTCCTCCCTATTTACCAAGACAATGCAAAGCCTATCATAAAATTGAAATCCCATAGGCCAGCTTGGAAAACAGCTATTCACTTAACAACTAGCCAATTTAAACCCTAGATTGCCTGGAGAGAGGAGTGGTCCAACGTACCTTCTTGTGGCCTGGCCATTAGTGATCCCTCTACCAAATCACCTGGGTTTGACCTGCTTTGCTTTGTCTGATAGAAATGGAACAGAATTAAGAATGATTACTGGAAGAAATGCCTCTGCCCTGTATCAGTGGGAATGGAAAGATTCCCCTTGTAATTGTGATGGTGATATGCAAAGTATTAAACATATTGTGTAAGATTGCCTATGACGTGTGTTCTCTGGTTCCTTAGAAGATCTGCATGAAGCAATGTTAGTAGCAACCACCTGGATAACTGAATTGGATATCTAGTTATGAGGCCACTGCCATATCCCCATAGATATTTTAGTTATAATTACATGGACTGTGTATATATGTTGACTTCTCTTCTGTCATGTTCTCAACATATGCTAAATAAATAATAATTTCTTGAGATTCTTATTTTTAGCCATCAAGGGCCATAGAAGAACTTCATATGAGGTGATATCTCCAGAGGCTGCGAAAGGGTTGGAAAATAAATAGGTGTATTTCAGCCCAATAAAAGTTTTTGCTATATGCTTAAAAGAAGTTATGATCCAATTTATCTAGCAGGTACCAGGTTGTAGAATATTGTATCACACAATACCATTTTATAAACTAAATGATATTAATTCAGGATGGATGAAAAGGATTTTATACCTACTATTTACACCCCTCTCTTGAAAAAAAATATAGATTACTTTAGTATGGATCTTATGTTTTCAAAAGCTTTAGACCATGTGGTCGAAGTATTATTAGGGCACCCAAATCATGATCTCAATATCAGACCTCAAAACTAAAGATTATATTATCAGATTTCAATGCAAAATCCCAAGTGCACTCGTAGTGGGATTCAAGAAAGACATTTTCCCACTTTTAACAGAGAAGACTTCTTATAGATAATTTTTAAATATCCAGCCTCCAGATCCATATTGGTTTTAAAAGTCGTTCATAAATGAAAAATTCACTTCTTTGTCATGTAGTTTATGTGTTAGGAATTCTAGTTCAAACTCTGGGACTTGGCCTTTGTAAACAAGGTGCTGTGGTTAAATAATTTCCCAGTCTGTTGTTTTTTCATCTCAGCAAGCCTTCTGTTTAGTGCATTGCCTTTCAGCTCAGCAAGAGGGCTGTTGAAGGGGGTGAAATAAGAGATTTGTCCAGACAGCTCCACTTCATTTTTTACTAAAGATGAGAAATGTTATAGGTTCATAAATTGTTTCTTACATATTGAATTGGTCTAGCTGTAGACTGCCTTTGGGCAGAAGAGGGAGGAGGAGATATGATTTTTCTCAATAATTCTTTCCTTTTTTGCTCCATCTCATACTGATTGCAAGCCCAGACTAAGGCTTGTCTCTGTAAAGTTGAGAAAGGGACAAAAATTCCCCCTAGCACACATAAACAGAATTTTCAACTTTTAGGTAGGACATCATTGCAGACAGAATTAGAGCCATTTCCTGACATAGAAATTTTGTTTTGTTTCTTTGAAAGTCAGCTACACTGATTTAGCGTGTCCAAAGCCTGCAGCATACACAGGAAATATGAAATCTGAGATAGGATAAAGTCTGCTCGGTCACATATTTTGTAACATTCCTCGGATGAAAACAAATTTGGAAACACTTGTTGTTCTATCAAGACACTCACTATTATATATTTCTGGAAACTGGATTTCTGCACACAATATGAAGTCAATTTGCAATATAAAGAATTTCTCTGTTGGTGCTTATCTACTACTACTATATGCAACATTTCTTGAATTGGCTACTTGATCTGTTTTTGACAAACCCATGTTGGCTTTTGGTTATTACTTTGTTTGCTTCTAGGTGTTTGCTGATTCATTGCTTGATTATCTTTTCCAGAATCTTCCTTGGTATTGAGGTCAGGCTGATAGGTTTGTAGTTTCCTGAATCAGTTTTTTTTCCTTTTTTGAAGATGGGAACTACATCAGCTGTTTTCCAGTCCTCTGGCAGTTCCCCAGTGCTCCAGGATCTTTGAAAGACATATTTTCTTCCCTATTTTAAGTTGTGTTCCTAATCTGTTTTTTGTGGTGCTGTTTTTGATAGGTTGGACTGTTTTTTCCCTTTGTGTAAAGACAGATGCAAAAAATGAGTTAAGTAGTTCTGCTTTCTCCCTGTTGCTTGTCACCTTCTTGCCACTTTCTCCCAGAAATGGATCAATTGTTTCCTTGACTTTTTTCTTGTTTTTAACATGTTGGAAGAAGCTTTTTTTGTTACGTTTTACTTTTGTCGCAAACCTTTGTTCATTGTGAGCCTTAGCTTTCCTTACTTCATCTTTGCAGGTTCGGACTATTTGGTGATATTCAGCTTAGTTATGTGCCCCTCTTTCCACTTTTAATACTTGTCCTTTTTGTCTTTCAGTTTGTCAGAGTTCTTTATGCAGCCATGCTGGTTTCTTTTGAGAGCTGTTATTTTTCTTCTTCATTGGTATTGTGCTAGACTGGGCTTTTATAATCACACTTTTCAAAAATTTCCCAAACTTCTTGAGTTGTTTTCCCCTTGAGGATTCTCATCCATGGAATCCTTCCCAAGCTCTCTCTAAGTTTATTGTAATTAGCTCTCTAAAAGTCCAAGACTCTAGTTTGACTTTGTTCTACTACTTGTGCTTGCATAATGTTGAATTCCAATATTGCATGATCACTTGCCCCCAAGGTTCCTGTAGCTTCAACACCTTCTCTATTAGTGAGAATTAAGTCCAATATGGCTGATTCCCTTGTTCCCGAATCTAGTTTTTGGGAAACAAAGTTGTCTGCTAGGTTTGTTAGGAACTTGTTGGATCTTCCACTTGGTGCACTTTGTCTCCCAGTTGATGTCAGGGTAGTTAAAATCCCCCATTACTATTGTGATGTGCTTCCTATATACCTTAGCTGACTAGCAAAAAGTTCATCAATTTCCTGTTTGGTTGGGTGGCCTATAGTATAGCCCTATGGCAATGTCTTTTTTCCCCCTTTAATATTGACCCAAATGCATTCAAGATAATTTTCATCATTGTTGTGCTCTATTTTTCCTGGTGCCCACATGGCTGGGCAGCCTAATCTGCTAAAGTCAAAACTTGTTATACCTGCAAAGTAGTTGACCAGTTTATAAATCCTAATAAATGAATGAATATGTAATAAATGCCTGTTTCTCCTAATGCAGTAATTCTGAGTATTGACGTATTCTATGTGTAAAAGCCATACTTTTTCATATCTATATCATATCTATATTGTATTCGCAATTGAGGCCGCCATGATAGTACAATACCCTAGTCTTCAAGCTTTTGCTACAATTTTAATTTCCCTTCACTATCC